AAGAGGAAAAAAGGGACATGAAGAATTCAGAAGATTAGAGTTTGGGAGAACACAGGGAGTGGATGCACCTGCGCCATTGCAAACGATTTTGAGCCATGTCATTCATGGTCTCAAACCATCGGTTGCTGACATCTCGCGGTTGTTGTTGTTCTAATCATTATTTCTTGCAAACCGACATCGATGGCTTGGACATGTTTTACGAATGTCTTCCGAGAGAATTCCTCGTCGTGCATTATTCCCGACCGTTGTTGCTACCTTGACGTGGTGGTCGGGCTTGCCTATCGTGATGAAGCAACCGAGCTATACTGGCTAGAACAACCGTTCCTCAAGGTCCTACCATGTCAGACAGGTCGGTTGAAGAGCGGTAAGACTAAAAGCAACAAACCCAAGGTCCGAAGGCGAAGTCGTACTGCTGACTGTACAGAGGTGTGGCAGCAGTAAGGTGTTTCCTTCAGACAACCAGCATGACAGCGATGCTGCCTTCCCACAAGGAGGGGTGGGGTTAGAAAACGTCGACCCTAAAAATGCACACCTCACCTTACCTCACGGATTTCCGTCTCCGGCGGTAAGGTCTCAATAAGTACGGAGCTAACACAAAAATTACCCATAACAAGGTCGTGTGTGACCGACCTCAAGCAGTTGTCCCTTGGGCACTGCGGTCACGCTCTCAGGTCACTAAGACCACCACCTTTAATCCAAATTCCTTTTCAGGTACCTCCAGAACAACCCTTCCACGGTATGGGCAACCGGGAAGTGAAAACCGCCCTCATACCTCTAACAGCACTCAAGACCACTGTATTCATAATCAACCTTCCTCTTCAATTCCTATTATTCCTCCTACATCGACTTTCAACTTTAAATTTCCTCTCTCGGCTTCCACCTCAAGTGTCACCATAGCCAACGATTCTAGTGCGCAATATACTGTCTCAGGTCTACTGAAACCTCGCTCTAAACTACACATTGGAGCCTTCAACGTACGAAGCCTATGTCAAATCGGTCAGCAGGCTTCCTTGGCTAAAACCCTAGAGTCTCTTACCATTGACGTGTGCTGTGTCTCCGAAACACGCATACAGGATTCCAGTGTGGTCATTCACTTGACCTCACCTCGGCAAAACGGAGAGCCAACGAGGTACACCCTTCGTGTATCTGGTGACCCGATGGCAAGTTCTCGTGGACTGGCAGGTGTAGGCATAGCACTAAGCATGAGGGCCGAACAAGCACTGCTAGAGTGGATCCCCGTCAACAGTCGTCTATGTGCTGTTCGGCTGAACGGCTACGTAAGAACTCGGAAGGATAGGGACACACGTCGTTACCTTGTTGTCGTTTCTGCCTACGCTCCCACTGACTGCAGCTCGGATGATGTGAAAGATGAACTTTACAGAAAGCTGTCCGAACTTCTTCAGAAAGCTAAACGCTCAGACATAGTACTCGTAGCAGGTGATTTTAATGCTCAGATAGGCAGTTTAAACCAAACAGAAAGGCATTTAGGTGGATATTTTAGTATTCCGACACAGAGAACAGATAATGGTGATCGTCTGCTGCAACTATGCTCAGACAATCGTTTATTTTTAGCAAACACAAATTTCAAGCATAAGGAGAGACATCGTCTAACATGGCGACCCCCTACACCAAACCAACGATGGACTCAAATAGACCATATTGCCATCAGTCATCGTTGGAGAGGGTCGGTAGAAGATTGTCGCTCATTCTGGAGTACCTGCTTGGACTCCGACCACGCCCTCATACGGGCACGCATCTGCTTGCGCCTCACTGGACGCAAAAAAGCCACATTAAAAAGACCCGTTAGAACTGATTTGAGTAACGAGGAAACCAAAAGTAGGTTCCAGGAACAACTGAGGTCACACTTAGGTAGTTGTGAAGACGAGGCTGACCCAGATGTTGCTTGGAAGGGCATACAATCAGCTGTGGAAACAGCAGTGACATCTATTAGTGACTTAAACCACAGAGTTGTAAGGAACCAGTGGATTTCTTCAAGGTCTGTCACACTGATGGATTCTCGCAAACTCGTCCCATCAGGTTCCGAACATGATAAAGAGCGAAAACAAAAGAGATGGAAAAGGCGGCGACTATAGGGAACACAAGACAGCTTTACAGACTAATAAAAGAAACTGGAATTAGTAAGTCAAGTGTAAGTGAGATTATTTCGGAAAAAGATGATACTCTCATCTGCTCCCAGTCCAGACGTTTAGAACGATGGGCGGAACACTTTAGGGAACAGTTCAGCTGGCCTTCAGCTACTCTACAACTACCCTCCATTCCCAGATAGTGTGAATGGAACATTGAAATAGGTCCCCCAACTCTTGCTGAATTTCAAAAGACTATAGTTAATCTGAAACGAGGAAGGGCAACTGGTCCAGATGGATTGGCTCCAGAGGTCTTTAAGGATGGTGGTCCAATTTTAGCGATTAGGTTGACTAATATTTTAGCTAAGATCTGGGAATTAGACTTTATCCCATCTGACTGGTCGCAATCACTTATCGTCCCAATATATAAGAAAGGGTCAAAATCATCCTGTGACAACTACAGAGGGATTAGTTTAACAAACATAGTATCTAAAATACTGGCCTCGATAATTATCAAACGCCTAACTAAGACTCGTGAACTACAAACTCGAGAGAACCAAGCTGGCTTTAGACCTGGTCGTGGCTGCATCGACCACATATTCACCATTCGTCAGGTTCTAGAACACAGGCATACCTATCGGCGTCCGACGATGGTGGTATTTCTTGACTTAAAAGCAGCATTTGACTCGGTAGACCGCGAGACTCTGTGGCAGTGTCTGTCATTGAAAGGCGTACCTCAGAAGTACATCAACCTTGTCTCCAACCATTGGTTACGATAAGCACGCGGACTCCAACCAAGTAGTCTGCATCCACAGACATGGCTCAAACTAGAAGTTAGTGACATCAGGCACTTCAGGCACCGACCCTCTCCAACGATGACTGATGGCAATATGGTCTATTTGAGTCCATCGTTGGTTTGGTGTAGGGGGTCGCCATGTTAGACGATGTCTCTCCTTATGCTTGAAATTTGTGTTTGCTAAAAATAAACGATTGTCTGAGCATAGTTGCAGCAGACGATCACCATTATCTGTTCTCTGTGTCGGAATACTAAAATATCCACCTAAATGCCTTTCTGTTTGGTTTAAACTGCCTATCTGAGCATTAAAATCACCTGCTACGAGTACTATGTCTGAGCGTTTAGCTTTCTGAAGAAGTTCGGACAGCTTTCTGTAAAGTTCATCTTTCACATCATCTGAGCTGCAGTCAGTGGGAGCGTAGGCAGAAACGACAACAAGGTAACGACGTGTGTCCCTATCCTTCCGAGTTCTTACGTAGCCGTTCAGCCGAACAGCACATAGACGACTGTTGACGGGGATCCACTCTAGCAGTGCTTGTTCGGCCCTCATGCTTAGTGCTATGCCTACACCTGCCAGTCCACGAGAACTTGCCATCGGGTCACCAGATACACGAAGGGTGTACCTCGTTGGCTCTCCGTTTTGCCGAGGTGAGGTCAAGTGAATGACCACACTGGAATCCTGTATGCGTGTTTCGGAGACACAGCACACGTCAATGGTAAGAGACTCTAGGGTTTTAGCCAAGGAAGCCTGCTGACCGATTTGACATAGGCTTCGTACGTTGAAGGCTCCAATGTGTAGTTTAGAGCGAGGTTTCAGTAGACCTGAGACAGTATATTGCGCACTAGAATCGTTGGCTATGGTGACACTTGAGGTGGAAGCCGAGAGAGGAAATTTAAAGTTGAAAGTCGATGTAGGAGGAATAATAGGAATTGAAGAGGAAGGTTGATTATGAATACAGTGGTCTTGAGTGCTGTTAGAGGTATGAGGGCGGTTTTCACTTCCCGGTTGCCCATACCGTGGAAGGGTTGTTCTGGAGGTACCTGAAAAGGAATTTGGATTAAAGGTGGTGGTCTTAGTGACCTGAGAGCGTGACCGCAGTGCCCAAGGGACAACTGCTTGAGGTCGGTCACACACGACCTTGTTATGGGTAATTTTTGTGTTAGCTCCGTACTTATTGAGACCTTACCGCCGGAGACGGAAATCCGTGAGGTAAGGTGAGGTGTGCATTTTTAGGGTCGACGTTTTCTAACCCCACCCCTCCTTGTGGGAAGGCAGCATCGCTGTCATGCTGGTTGTCTGAAGGAAACACCTTACTGCTGCCACACCTCTGTACAGTCAGCAGTACGACTTCGCCTTCGGACCTTGGGTTTGTTGCTTTTAGTCTTACCGCTCTTCAACCGACCTGTCTGACATGGTAGGACCTTGAGGAACGGTTGTTCTAGCCAGTATAGCTCGGTTGCTTCATCACGATAGGCAAGCCCGACCACCACGTCAAGGTAGCAACAACGGTCGGGTCCAATGGGTTTCGCTGATACCCAGTACTGCTATGTTGTATTTCCTCATTTCCATTGATGTTTGACTGGTCTTCCCGGTGTCCCACATTGTTCGAACGTTCCATGTACCTATAAAAATTTTTGCTGTGGTTGTTAGAAGGGGCATCGGCCTTGTGGCTTCCGAAGGAGCTCGGCTTTCACCATGAAGCGTCATTTTTCTTCTAAATGAAGACCTTCTAACTCCCAGGGCAGAGTTAAAATGGTTTGGATTATTTTTTCTGGTAAGCAATTTTTTAGCGAGTTAGTTTCTACAGGATGCGGACGCTAAACCCATGCCCAACCCTCCTCCTTTACCCGGGCTTGGGACCGGTAGTAACACTATAAGAGTTGCAGGCGGAGTTCATATATAATGTACACTCTCTTTAATGGACATATCGATTTTTGAGTAGCACAAGTCTTAGGTTTGAGGCCCATCCTACATGATACTCTAGATATTTTCACACATCAAAGAACTTGGTAATTGAGCTTAATAGGTCCGGGATTTTTAATGGTGTTAACAGTTGTTACTACTTGAAAATGAATATTATTTCGGTGTTTGTCGTGATTTTACTTTTGTTTATAGTCAGAGTCAAAAGTATTCGTTCGAGGGATATTTATACTACTCTAAAGCAGGGGTTCATTGCTTTTATGATTGTCACTATTAATGCTGGTTCTTTTCCCTTCTAGATTCCAAGTTTAAGAAAAACGTCAGAATATTCCAGGTGGTCTCGTGGCAAATACAATTCATTTTCAAGCGTCACTTTGCTAAATAACGAGCTAATTATGGTTTCGAAGTAAGCTAGTGTCATAGTGTTCCTTTATATCATTTATTTAATTGAAAGCTCGAAAGTTTTATCTACCGGAAATATTGTTATTTCTGGATACCTAATGAAGAGCAGACGTATTGAATTGTTGCGCAAAGTCCTGTGGAATGTATGTTCCTTGCTGTTTTGTTTTCTTTTAAACGAAACATCTTTAGCTTCACTGTATGAAACATTCGTCAGAATCCAGTGTTCTGGTAAGTTGTTAATTGATTTGTTAACAAACACTTAGATTTAGTTGCACTATTTGCTTTCATACTATATATAAGTGATTTAGTTATTACAATTTCACTTGTTAATTATCAGTCATTTGTTGAGACCACTAACCGGCTTAAGTCAGAAAACCACTAAAAACCATAAAGTGTTAGACAGCTGTTTCGTTCTGGTTCGGGACTCATCAGAATAAGCCACTCATAAACCTACCACAGGTTAACACAATCAGGACCTTCAGTCTTGTGCGTGAAAGGAGTACCAAAGAAGTAAATTAACCTTATAATGGCTCTCTACTCGAACACAACTGGTAGAGTGAGAGCTTATGGCGAACTGTCATCAGAATTGATCACCTCAAGTGGTGTTCGTCAGGGCTGTCCACTCTCCCCATTCTTGTTCAACTTTGTCATTGACCTACTTTTAGAGATAACACTTTCCTCATCTAAATTTCCAGGGGTTGAACTTCTACCAGGAGGTTCACTTGTTGACTTAGAATATGCAGATGACATAGTTTTATTTGGTGAAGACGCTGACAAAATGCAGAGTCTTCTGACGACTCTAAGCAACAATGCAAGCATGTTCGGGATGCGATTCTCTCCCTCGAAATGCAAAATGTTGCTTCAGAATTGGGTTACTTCGACATCCGAACTAGTGATAGGGAGTGAAGTAGTTGAGTGTGTCGACCGCTTCACTTATCTTGGAAGTCTCATCAGCCCTTGTGGTTTAGTGTGTGACGAAATCTCAGCACGGATACAGAAGGCTCGACTAGCTTTTGCCAACTTGCGTCATTTATGGCGTAGTCGAGATATCCGTCTATCAACCAAAGGACGTGTTTACTGCGCAGCAGTTCGTTCCGTCCTACTTTATGGCAGTGAAACATGGCCGGTAAGAGTAGAGGATATCCGTAGGTTACTAGTATTTGATCATAGGTGTCTTCGAAACATTGCTCGTATATCCTGGGACTATCGAGTAAGTAACACAGTTGTTAGGAAACGGGTACTAGGTAAGGATGGCAAATCAATTGATGAAGTAGTGAAACTTCATCAGTTGAGATGGCTGGGACACGTGTTACGTATGCCCAACGACCGACTGCCTCGACGTGCTATGTTCAGTGGTATAGGAGTAGGTTGGAAGAAAGCTAGGGGCGGCCAAACCAAAACATGGCACAAGTCCACGAAGTCACTGACAAGTGGACTGAGTCATGTTGGTAGGTGTAGACTACCTGGTTGGGGACCGCGAGATGACAGTCAATCAGTCAGTCAGTCAGCTACAACGTAGGACCAGGCACATATGTGCATCGGTCCAGGTTGCCATACCTCATTAGCACAGCAAGATGAACACCGGATTCATAGGAGTGGTTAGGTCAAAGGTTGCAATAAGGATATAGTATAGGAAGAAAGGATTAGTTCGTAGACAGAAAGAATGAAGTTATTTTAGTCTCTTAGTTTAAGGGAAGACAGGGAGTGTATATACCGACGCCATTGTGATCGATTCTGAGCCATGTCACCAAGAGTCTCCAACCATTGGTTACGAAAGTCACGCGGACCCCAACCAAGTAGTCTACATCTACCAACATGGCTCAGACTAGAAGTTAGTGACTTCAGGCACTGATGCCACGTTTTGGTTTGGCCGCCCCTAACTTTCTTCCAACCATCCCCTACCCCGGTTAGCATTGCACGTCGTGGTAATCGGTGTTCAGGCATACGTAATACGTGGCCCAACCATCTCAGTCGATGAAGATTCATAACCTCATCAACTGATTTACCATCATTCCCTAATACCCTGCGTCTAACCTCGCAATTACTTACCCGGTGATCCCAGCAGATGCCAGCAATATTTCTAAGGCATCTGTGGTCAAATACTAGTAACTTACGGGTGTCTTCTACTCTTAAGGGCCATGTTTCGCAGCCGTAAATTAAAACAGAACGAACTGCCGCGCAGTATACTCGTCCTTTTATTGATAGACGGATATCTCGCCTTCGCCAAAGGTGACGTAAGTTGGCAAAAGCGAAACGAGCTTTTCGAATCCGTGCTGAGATTTCGTCCGATACCAACCCATTAGGGCTGATCAGACTTCCAAGATAAGTGAAGTTGTCAACGCGTTTGACTACTTCACTCCCTATCCTTAGTTCAGGTGTTGACCCAGATTAGTCCTGAAGCAACAACTTACATTTAGAGGGAGAGAAGCGCATCCCAAACATTCTGGCATTGTTGCTTAGTGCTACCAGAAGACTCTGCATTTTGTCAGCGTCTTCGCCAAACAGGACTATGTCATCTGCGTATTCTAAGTCGATAAGTGGACCTCCTGGAAGGAGATCAATACCCGAGAACTCAGTCGACGAGAGTGTTATTTCCATCAATAGGTCTATGATGAAGTTAAACAAAAATGGAGAAAGTGGACAGCCTTGACGGACACCACTTGAGGTTGCAAAAGTAGATGACAGTTCGCTATAAGCCCTGACTCGACTAGTAGTGTTCGAGTAAAGAGCCTTCACAAGGTTTATGTACTTCTGAGGTACGCCTTTCAATGACAGACACTGCCACAGAGTCTCGCGGTCTACCGAGTCAAATGCTGCTTTTAAGTCAAGAAATACCACCATCGTCGGACGCCGATAGGTATGCCTGTGTTCTAGAACCTGACGAATGGTGAATATGTGGTCGATGCAGCCACGACCAGGTCTAAAGCCAGCTTGGTTCTCTCGAGTTTGTAGTTCACGAGTCTTAGTTAGGCGTTTGATAATTATCGAGGCCAGTATTTTAGATACTATGTTTGTTAAACTAATCCCTCTGTAGTTGTCACAGGATGATTTTGACCCTTTCTTATATATTGGGACGATAAGTGATTGCGACCAGTCAGATGGGATAAAGTCTAATTCCCAGATCTTAGCTAAAATATTAGTCAACCTAATCGCTAAAATTGGACCACCATCCTTAAAGACCTCTGGAGCCAATCCATCTGGACCAGTTGCCCTTCCTCGTTTCAGATTAACTATAGTCTTTTGAAATTCAGCAAGAGTTGGGGGACCTATTTCAATGTTCCATTCACACTATCTGGGAATGGAGGGTAGTTGTAGAGTAGCTGAAGGCCAGCTGAACTGTTCCCTAAAGTGTTCCGCCCATCGTTCTAAACGTCTGGACTGGGAGCAGATGAGTGGATCGTCTTTTTCCGAAATCCCGATCGAAGCTGCTACCTTGACGCGGTGGTCGGGCTTGCCTATCGTGATGACCCAACCGAGCTATATTGGCTGGAACATATGTTCCTGCAGGTTCTACCATGCCAGGCAGGTCGATTGGCGAACGGTAAGACTAAAAGCAGCAACTCAAGGTCTGAGGGCGAAGTCGTACTGCTGACTGTAGAGAGGTGTGACAGCAGTAAGGTGTTTCCCTCGGACAACCAGCATGACAGCGATGCTGCCTTCCCACAAGGAGGGGTGGGGTTAGAAAAGGTCGACCCTAAAAATGCACACCTCACCTTACCTCACGGATTTCCGTCTCCGGCGGTAAGGCCCCTTGAAGAACGGAGCTAACACGTCAAAAACCTTCCACAAAAAGGTCGTGCGCGACCGGCCTCAAGCAGTTGTCCCTTGGGCTCTGCGGTCACGCTCCCAGGTCGTCAAGACCAACACTAATCCAATTTCCTTTTCAGGTTCCTCAAGAAATACCCTTCCACGGTGTGGGCAGCCGGGAAGTGACATCAGCCCTCATACCCGTAACAGCACAAGAGACCAAGGTGGTCACATTCAAATCCTTCCTACACCTCCTAATACCTCTCTTATCCTCCCGACTAACCCTCCTCACGTCTCTTTATCACCTCGCACCGCTAGGGCAAACGATTCGAGTACGTGGAACGCCATTCCTGGTCTCCTGAAACCACGCTCTAAACTACACGTAGGAGCTTTTAACGTACGAACACTTTGCCAAATAGGACAGCAGGCTTCCTTAGCTAAAACTTTAGAATCTCGTGCCATCGATGTGTGCTGCGTCTCCGAAACGCGCATACAGGATCCAAGTAGTGTCATTCATTTGACCTCACCATGCCAAAATAAAGAACCGACTCGATTTACGCTTCGTGTATCTGGAAGCCCTGATTCTGCTTCCCGTGGCCTCGCCGGCGTAGGTATAGCATTGAGTCCTAGGGCAGAACTAGCTCTCTTAGAGTGGATCCCAGTAAACAGTCGTTTGTGCGCTGTCCGACTGAACGGAACAGTAAGAATCCGGAAAGATAGGGACACTCGTCGTTGCCTCTTCGTCGTCTCTGCCTATTCTCCCACTGACTGCAGCTCAGATGATGTAAAAGATGAGTTTTACAGAAAGCTTTCGAACCTTCTCCGAAAAGCTAAGCGCTCGGATGTAGTAATAGTGGCCGGTGACTTTAATGCTCAAGTAGGTAAACTAAGCGATAAGGAAAGACACCTAGGTGGATCTTATGGTGTCGTGGCTCAAAGAACAGATAATGGCGACCGTCTGTTGCAGCTATGCTCAGATAACCGCCTGTTCCTTGTAAATACTAACTTTAAGCATAAGGAAAAACATCTTTTAACATGGCGACCCCCTAATTCGTCCCAACGTTGGACCCAAATAGATCACATCGCTATCAGCCACCGATAGAGGGGCTCGATAGAAGACTGTCGCTCATTCTGGAGCACATGCCTAGATTCAGATCATGCTCTAGTGCGAGCGCGCGTTTGCTTGCGTCTTACTGGACGTAGGAAAGATCCTGCAAGGAAACCTCTTAGGGCCCTACTTAATGATAGTCAAGCTAAGAGTATATTTCAGGAACAACTAGGAAAACAGTTAGGCAGCCATGTATGTGATGCCCACCCCGATGCAGCATGGAATGATATCCGAAAAGCTGTGGAAACAGCAGTGATATCTGCTGGTAAGGTAAACCAGAAGGTTAGGGAGCAACACTGGATCTCAGCAGCATCTATCTCACTGATAAATGCTCGGAAACACATTCCACCTGGCTCTGAACATAATGAAGAGC